ATACAGATATATTAAATAAATAAACATAAAAATAAAAAATAATTATGAACAATATAAAATTGAATTATTTCCTATATTATGAAAGTATCCATGATATCAAGATAAATTCTGTCATGCAAAAGCTGCATGAGCTTTTAATGGTTGTCAAACATGGTAAAGGATAAAGTTCTAATGAGGATTTAATAGACTTGTTCACAAGGGTCGTTTGACAATGGCTCGTTCTCGACCCTCGATGAATCCCCAAACAGACGTCGTATGTCAAGTTGACAGATTGACTGCTTGTTCGTTTCAATAGATTCGTTTGGCTCTTGTTATAATATTCTTTGTTTAATTAAATCTAGCTGTATTAAAGTTCTTAAAATATTTATATTTATTAATTTTCTTTATTATAGAATTTAATTTCAGGTACGTAATTTAACTCTAAAGAGATGAAAGTATCTTTATACACACAGTTTGTATTTTTGATTATGTTAAACAATTATAGTCATATTGCTACAACTACAAATTTTGTATCGTGGATAAATATATTCAAAAAAAGTCGTACTATCTAGAAATTAAAAATTTGAGACTAAATAATATCTCAACTGTATAAAGTTGTAACAAAATAATAAATATATAATATGAACTCAGAAAATATAACAGAATATAACAGAAAATATAACAGAAAATTAATTATTTATAGTAAATCATTGACTAAACTACTATATTGTAAGAATGTATTTTTTAAAGTTATCTCAATAATATTATGGTATTATGTTTATTTAAAAAATATTTATCTAAACTGAAAAAATGTAATTGTCATATTCTATTTGTATAAAGTTTATATAACTGTGTAATTATAGTTTAATCGTTATTTTACTATTAATTAACAAAACATATGTTATGTATGTTATTATACTTTTATAGTATTCAGTGCTAATTTGATTCTTATTACTTTGTAAAACTAGTTGCACTAGTAGAAATTTAAATTTTAGAAATATGAAACTATCTTGTTTTCTCTCAATGTAATGATATTGCACAATATTATTCTTGCTGTATAAATAAGAATATATTATTGAAAAAAAGAAGGGAAATTAAAAGAAAGAAAGTGAGAAAAGATTATTTGAGGTCTCACGTTTTGTGTTTTATAACTCCCACGTGTTACATCGAATATTCAACTTGGTTCATAACTTGGAGCGATAGACAAGATAGTCAATGACGTGACAAGCTATATGAAGATGTATCAAAGTGTCGAAATGGGTACTGACGCAGAGGGGAACTCAGGAACAAACCGGAAGTGAGATGAGCTTTATTGTTAAGTCACGCTGGCATCGTGACCTATCTCTATCTTCTATAACAACCCCTCTGCTTCAGAATTTTCTTTTCCTATAGATAGATTTACTTTTCATTTATTTATTGGCAAATGTGCATTTAAATTTATAGTAATAAATAGAAAGATCACTAAATGAGAAAAAAATATTAAAAAAAAAAAACAATGAAGAACGTTACTAACAAAATATCAAGATAGTCTATAAAAAGATATTTCTTTTATGAAATATAATAATTCATTATATAAAGTTAATATTTGTTATAGAAGAAGAAAGTTAATATTTCTTTTGTAATTGTCAAAGTATATTTTTTATAATTAATAATTATAAATATAACTTATGACAGTATCTGTATTATAACTTATATAAATTATATATTATTTTTTTGTATAGGATAGCTCATTTTAAATGACATAGGCAAATATTTCGAAAAATATGGAATATATGGAAAAATGTTCCAACTCCAAAAATTGTGAGATTTCAGAGAAGCAACATGATTATGATATTGATTCATCCAAATGAAGTAAATGTAGAGATTTTTTTTTGGTTATCACTTTTCCCAATAAAGTTATTTATTTTTCTAATATAATATAATATAATTTCTCTAATTATTCTGAATATAAAAATATTCGAATACAGTCATCAAAGAGTCAATAATTCACGAGATATTATATTTTGGCATATTTTCACATTAAATATTTCGTTATATGTTCGATTTTTGATAATCTATTATTTTTCCTATTATTTTTATATTTAAAGAAATTATATTATATAATAAAAAACATATAAGTCTATTTAAAAAAATGGCGATTATAAAAAATATTGAGTGCTCCATCTGTGAATGAATCAATTCATAATCATGTAACTTGAAATTCTATAATTTTTGTTTGAACCGTTTTTTCTTACATATTTACCATACTTTTAGCTATTTACTACGTCATGTTGATGGGTCGCCTTGTATATTTCAATATAAAAATTCAGATGTTCCTGAATTATACAGAATGTGAATTTTATTGCAAAATAATAGTTTTTTAACCAAGTAATTTAACTTGTTAATTCAACATTTAATGTTATACATAAATCAAAAAATACGGTAACGTCTCGCATCAGATTCACGCACAATGAAATATCGAAGAATGGCAGCGAGAGACCTGTAATTTTTTTACGTGAGTTGTTGAAAAAAATTGGAGCTCACAATTTCAAGAGACATGGATGATGTCTCGCGCTTTTAAAGTGCAGCGAAATTTGCGATGAGACATCCATGGCTATCTGTAATACACGAGTCGCTGAGATAAGCGCAGCTTACATTTTCATATCTCAGCAATAGCTGTATCGGCTGTAAATTTTAGGCTCAATTGATAAATGAGGAATACATTTATCAAATGTTGCAAATGCAAGCGCGCGATAAGAAGGCGCGTGAGGAATTGTTTACTTCAAGCGGCTCGTGCGTAGCTATTGCCGTTTGAGGTAAACAATTCCTCACGCGCCCATCAACAATGATCATCGAGCGGGAGTATCTTACCGCGCGCTTGCTTTGCCGGTTAGCCCGGCCGAGTGATTTTTAACAATACGGTGATTTTTAATAATTAATATCTCGATTATTACTGCGAATATCACAAAATGGGACTTTTATGTTCATCTCGGTCTCATCTATTTTTTCACGAGCGGTGGCAGAAGTCTCGCGGAACACCCGATTATAATCAGTAATTAATATACGTAGATGAGCTATTAT